TTGGCCCGGGCGGCCAGCCGCACGCTGGACCGCCACGCCGCCGGCCGAGGCAGCGCTCCCAGATCACTTAAACCAGCCACGTGGGTTCAGGGGCTGCTGATCTTCACAGTGAACAGTGTTAACTGATTTTCTGTAAGGTTTCTGAGGGCCGGTCTCGGGTGGCAGGACAGTGTGTTGGAAGGCACATGCTTTCGTGGTGATGGCACCTTGCGCGTTTTTGCAGTGACTGCTGATCCTAAAAGGATTAGGTATCAGATTTAAAAGATTAGTGGTATGCTCTGACTCGGTAGTTTTGCAAGCTCTTTTGCAGAAGATAAAATTTACCCCTGGCTCTATGTTTTGGATGGCTAAATTACCATTGCTGCTGACATGGAAAGAAGGTTAGCAGCAACATATGCAACACGACTAGAGAAGGCCAGAGCCCTGCTCCCTCAGAGCCTGACATACTTTCCCAAATCTATTCATCTTGTCTTTAAAGAAGATAGAAAGAATAACTCGTAACCAAAGCAAAGTTAAAAGTCATTTTAAAAAACATTTCTTTCATTCCTCCAAGCACTGCAATCCAGAAGATTTTCTTATGGAAGAAGTTCAGGTTCTTTTAAACTTCTACTTTTTAATGAAGATTACTACACATGCAAGTTCATATTTACTGAAATTCATTTCAGAATAGTAGCTGTTGACATGGTTAAATCGAGTCCTTTGGGAGAAATACATAGTGAAGGGTTTTAATGGGTTATGGATCTTTTTGAAGTATTTGGTGAATTTAAAATCAGTGATTTCCACAACGCAATAGGGTTTTTATTATTTAGTGTATCATCTGGAGTATCTATCCACTGACAACAGTAGATACAGCACACTTGATCCACTGATACATGTGACAGCTTATTGGGGGAACCAATTCTAGAGTAGTTCAGTGTCGGTTTTACAGACATTGCAGGAATCCAATCTAATATAAAGAAAGAAGCTCATGACAAACTGGCTATTTTAATTCATACCCAGTGAGGGAGAGGTAGATGCAGTCTTCGACCAACATGAAGTCTTGCACAGATTTTCCTAACTAGTTCTAAGTACTAGACTGATTCATTAGCTTTGACAAACCCAATCTGACTTTGCTCTAAATATCACTGTGGAAAATGGAGTGTCTAGCTCCTCCCGCCCCAAATATTCATTAACACTGCTAAAATGCAAAAGCAATTCTGCTGTCACTGAAAAGCAGCACGACAGAATATTCAGCAGGCTAGTTTTTAATAAAACATGTTTTTTCTTCATAATTAATATAACAAGGTTTTCTGGCTTAGCGCTTGGCATGAATCCCAGAAAAAAAAGAGAAGAATGAGTTGCTATGACGTGACCATTGCATGACAAACATGTTTGTTATGAGAGGACGTTTTTACCTTAATGATTTGTTCCAAAGAAGAAGTTACACCGAAACCGTTTGAATGAAACAATAACAGACTTTGCACACTGCTGAAACTGTGGAAAACACCCCCTAAGTTCTCCTTTCCATCCTTCTTTCCCGTAACTATTTTCATCATTCATATTTTCATTAGAAACTGCTTTTAGGAGTTTTTATAAATAACACTCCGATTAGTAAATATTATTGGTTTAATATAGCAGAAGTCAAACATAGGTAGTAGCTCATATTGAGTCAGTCAAAACAAAACAGAAAAGCACCAGGACAGTTGTGGATCCAGCAGGCTTTGGAGGAGGACTTACGGCAAAAATTTCTATTCATTTTTTTCACTATTACCTGAAGAAAAACTGATTACACCTGCATAAATATAAAGTATTTCCATAAAGGGCATAAATTTACGTCACAGATGCAAGTGAGAACAAAATTTGGCCCTTCGTTTAAACATATATGCTGTAACTGTATAAAAAACTGCCCTCAGCTATGACAGTCCTTCTCCGCCTTTTTTGGCTTTTAATTACAATAGGCCCTCACTGATTTACTCGTCAGCATTGCGTGAACAGGAAATTTTTAGAGAAATCAATATGTTTCCACGCAGCAAGACACTGTAGTAGAAATGTTCCTGGCATAAGGAGTCATATTGTTAGAGGTTCCTTATTTTGCCAAAAAGAAATTCAAACAGCTCATCTGCAGCAAGTTGATAGCTATTCAAACACAACAATTCAGCTGAGTATCTCCCATTACCAAAGCACTTGGGCTTGTAGTGAAGCACTTTTCCAAAATACACATAGATTTAAATGACATGCTTAAATATTGTGCTGAACTGGGCTAGAGAAGTCAGTAAGAGACAAGACTGAGTTTGACTGCACAGTGCTCCAGCGATGGAGCTGCTCGTATACCAGGCTGCAGCTCCCATTTAGCAAAGCTCTACAGCACTTCAGCGTATGCTTGTAGGAAAGAAAGTCATTTTTAAGTGAACAGATGTTCAGATTAGGCTTTTTCTCCATATCAGTGTTCCCTCCAAACTCAAAAGCACCCCTGACAGCAGAAAGGGAGATTTACAGGAGTCTGAGCAGCAGAAATGGCTCTTCACTGAATATTTTGGAACTTCAAAAAATTGATATCTGCTTAATTGTGATGGACTAGCCATGCCCAGTCAAATAATCAAGTGCGCTTACTAGTGAAATGGTAAGGACTGAAGTATCACATTAAGATCAAACAATTGCAAAGGAAAGCTCCTTCTTCAGAACGTACCATCAACGCCTCTCTTCTAGCTGGACTGCAGAGGATATGAAGCTGTAACAGACACCAGCAGTATTGGTCTTTCCTTGGCTCAGGCGCTCGGACACCCATATTTTAGGGTGAAAAGTCTCAAAGTTAACTCAGCCTGATATCTTCTCATAATAGTTTTTCTACCCACCAGCAGATCTAATCCCGCAGCAAACTTATGTTCCCTTGGCCTTCTCACTGCAGTGCTGCGTCACTAACGTCAAGGGTTTGTGCTGCGTTGTGTCATAAACTGATCCCTGCAAAGAGAAACGAATGTTGTCAAACCTATTTTGATTTGTGGCCCACCAGGCATAACACTTTACCACAGCACCAGCCTAAATTTGCCTGATGAGGCAGGAAAGCTAAAAAGCCTTCACAGCGCCCCCAGCTAGTTGTGCAGTGCTCTCTCCTGGAGGGAGCATTCCTTTCTGACCCCTGAAGGCAATCAGCTTATGCCCTGAAGCATGCAGGTTGATATCTCTTGTAACTAAAGGGACTTAATGACTTTACATAAGCTTTAAGTCTAACAGCATAACTTGCATTCTCAGCACAGGCTGCAAAAGCATTTGATAATGCAGCAAACTTGTGTTAGTGTGACGGGGCTGGTTCGCGCAGCCCCGCTGAAACAGATTTTGCAGCTTCCTCTTACCGTGGCATCCAAGATTGGGACCATTTTCCGCCTAAAAGCACAAAGACACCTTATCTACCAGGGAGCAACTTTAAAAACAGCCAGCCACTGCTAGCCCATTCCTCACAGTGCAAAGATTAACTTGCAAACTTTGATCTCTTGGAAGACAGGAGCAAGTAACTTCTGTGCAGACAACCAAGCTGGTTTCCGCAGTACCTCCAAGGGCCCTGCTGTTGCTTCTTTCCTGGATCCCCAGGGCTTTTGTACCAGGTGTTACCATCAGAAAAGTTCTCAAATGAATAATCACCAAAATAAAGACATTAAATGTAATCTGCCCGGAGTATTTTGAACCCAGTCAATGAGAAACATGTCATATACTCGGTGGCAAATGTAACAATTCTGTATGGAGGCAGGAGAAGTCTTGCTAGCAGAGAGGTAAAAAAACTCCGATGTTTTGGTGGAAACCTTTAAGGGAACGGTTTCCCAGGCTAAAAATATGACATGCGTTGCATGTGTGCTCCAGATGACAATATGCCCTACTTTCATCGTACTGCGACTGTGGCCCTGACTGAGAAATACAATGTCATTGCTGGAAAAGTCACTTTCCCTTGAAGTTCAAAGACTGTCACTATCCAAGACGGTTGCAGGCAAAAATCTGGACGATTGTAAGACCATCACAACCGTCGATTCCCTCCTCCTTTGGTGAGAAGCCCGGACAAAGGTTCCCACTGAGAGCTGTCAGCGACATCAAGGGGTTCACTACGAAAAGGCAGTAGCTGTCTCTGCCCTCCTGGCTCCTTCATACCTTATGGCAGTTGTGGATAGAAGTTGTTCAAATATCCATCCCCGTTCTCTAGTTCATCCTCATTCCATATGCTTCTCAGCTGCAAAGCTGTGACTATATAGAGGGACAAACGAAACGGGCAGTATTTGTTTTGCTGTAGTAGAGAATACTGCACGGCAAATTGTAGGAAAAGTCCCACAGGCTAGTGCAATTAAGCAAATAGGCCAATTCACACTTATGTGGTTTAATTTTGTCCTCCTGGAGTGCTCTCTTGTGAAGCCTGTGTGCGCCTGCGTGTACTCGTATTCGTGGGGGAAGATAATCTTTCTTCCCAGGCTGCCTTCTGCTGGTCTGTCATGCCAGCTTGCATAACTACTCTCTTTTCTCTGGAATGACTTCCGTTTTGCACACATGTAAATTCACAGCCTAGCTCTGGGTTGTCCCCTTTGTGCCGCCTGTTTCTCCACCTGCTTTTGTAATTTAATTATTCATTTTGATTTTAATACGGAAAACTGTACCTGAAACACGACAGTTCAACTGCTGAATGCCCTTGGCAGCTGTAAATATTTTCGGTTGAATTCAGGGTTAAATCTTCCTGATTTCATTCAGAAAGAATTGCCAGAGATTAACTGGACATTTTTGTCTGAGAAAGAGCTGCAGGATTCTGTCCTGAGACCAAGCTAACTCCTGGTTCTGGCATTACTGTTTGAAAACTATTATATTTCCTTAGTCTTTCTTTCTTGAGGAGTTGAAATGGAACTGCATATATCATGTATCTGAAGTGTTTAGCCTTTGTACAAAGCCTAATTAGTGAAGTTTTGATGGTTCTTTGGAGAAACGAAGCTTTAGTGAAGTGCTGATCGTTACAATGACGATGACAGCAGAGGTCAGGTGAAATTAGGATATTCTGAATTTAAGCTTTCTTTCCTCCATTTTTCTAGCAGAGTGACTCCACGCTCAGCAATGCACCTTTATCCATGTAAAATGTCTCTCCTAGACTTTTTTGCGGGCTTTCTTTTTTTATGAGCACGAAGTAATAAAATTTAAAATTGCTCTCCATGAATTCTTCCAGCTTCGTTCCCACTCTCCGTGGACCTGCTACGAGCAGGATCTAGTGATTTTATTCCCTCTTGAGAGAACACCAAAAGTATCGGTGTCGAGCTGCAGAAAGGAGCCTGGTGAAACAAACCCCACAGTCTAATTTCCCTCCCGCCCCCCACCTTTGTTTGAATCCTGCTCTTGGCTGGGTTTGCTATTACACCTCGTCGGAAGGACAAGATCCTCCTCTGCTGGCCACGAGGAATACGGCACGGCAGGCGGTGAGTCAGCCCTTGCCTCCGCTGCCCACACGCCGCCTGCGCCCACAGCCCGCATCCCACAGCCCACCCGCCGCATCCCAGGGGCGTCCTGCATCCCCCATCCCGCTTCCGCGTCCCTCAGCCCCTCGTGGCACAGACGAAAGGGCCAGCTGAAGCCCGCAGGCGGCATGTTTCTCCATGCCCTCCACAGCGGAGCCCTGCCGAAAGCTTGGTGCAAGGATCCAAACAGCAAAAATTTAGCCAATTAGCAGGAGCAAAACTGATTTTCATTCAGAGCAGTCTGGCAAGCAGCCAGGTGGACCTCACAAGGGAGGAGAAGAATATTCAAGATACAAGGCCAGTCATGCCTAGAGTTTTTCCCCCACAGCTCTGCCAGTGCGGCTGAGCCATCTGCAGCTTGTGGCAGGTATGTGAGGGAGAAAAGCCCTAGAATAAGACAGGACATTGGAACTTTAAAATAAAGATTAGATTTACCTCTTGGACTTAGAACATAGCTCGCTCTGTGAAGTGTTTAAGGTGCTGTAGCCACATTTGTTCCTAGTAACGTCTGTTTGGTGGCTGTGGGTTGAAGCCCTCTGTGACTCATTGTGTTTGGGACTCCATGACCCTAGAGGACAAGCCACTGCTTGCTCTGAAAGGTGTTACTGGAAACTTCTACTTTTTCTAGGGTGTCAGATTATTGCAACAGGGAGTTTAGTGCATCTGCCCTCTTATAAGCAGCTCTCCTCATGAGAGGTGCTTGGAAGTGCAGGCTAGATGAGTAGTCAGCCTGGGATACTAGAGAAGAAAGCAAAGTGCTAGCAAAGTGCTAGGTCTCCTTCCTGTCTTCTTGTTTTATAATTCAGCCCCCCTAAGATAGTGTGAAACCATCACCTTTGTTTTACAGCTGGGAGAAAATGAGGCACAGAACGAACGGCACGATGCAGTCACCTCCCACGCTTCTCTCAGTCTGAGCTGAAACCCTCTGAAATTCCCATGTGGAGCTAGCAGCTTCACTGAAAACAAAAGTTTCTGCCCCAAAACCCTTTCCAAACCCATTAGACAAATAGCACAAAGGGACACCATGGAGAGCTGAGGAGGGAAATGAAGCATTTCTTGCTTCATACTGTTGTTGTTCTACTTCCTTGTTCTTCTCTTTCATCTATTCATCCAAAAGAAAGGAATACTCTCCATTTGAAGGGTTTGTTTTGGTCTGCATTGATAGATGAACAATGTCACTAATTGTAAATGGGGCAATTAGACCCTTCTACTTAGACAATCTCCTCTACATCGAGGATCTGGCAAAGGGGCTCTGAAGAAGCCTGTACCTGCACTCAGCAGACATATACACCAGGACTAGAGCTTTTACAGCCTTCTTATTTACTGTTGTCTCTGCAGTCACTCATGAGGGGCAGTTGTGTGAGTGTGTGTCCTGGCAGCTGCACCAGATTTAGTTACACATCTGCACGGCTCACTTTGCTGCTCCTGGAAAGGGGCTGTGCTGAGTGGTTCAGGGTACATCACTCTCACTGAAGTCAGTGGGAAGGGTAGAGCTGGACTGTCTGTTCTCCCTGTCTCAAACACAAGAGGGACGCAAATACGCCTGAAGCAAATTCATTTATACTTTCCAGATAATATTCACAAATGTGAATTCTGAGTTATTTATCCAATTTCTTGTTCATTCATTCTTGTTCACAATCAGTATTTAGCTGTGAATGCCTTTCTTCTATAATGCACAAATAAGCAATGCATATTTACAGTTAATTGTATCTATAGCAAGCATAGGCACACATAATAACTGGGAGTGTGTACGTATACTCTGTTGAATACGTATGCTAATTTGTTTGGAATTACGTTTCCTTCCTACAAATTGCATGAGGAATGAAGAATAGCAGCTCCAGATCTGCTGCTTTAAAGCCATTGTTGGCATGTGTATTCTCATCACAGCCAGGTAATTCTGTCTGCCGCTGTGATTTAGAGCAAGAGGGAATGTAAGCTGAATTCTTCATATGGGGGATGAGTCCTGATGTGGAGTCCGTACATTTCCTTTCAGATAAACCTCACTCACACTCTTCAAAGGCTGAGGGCTGTTTTCCTTCTTCTTCTGTTCCTTTTTGTCATTTGTCCTTGATCATGAGCCAAACAGGAAAGGCTGGATCCCCATGTTGGAGGTCAAACACATGGCATTTCCTCACAGGAAGTACCAGAAAAGTTCTCCTCCATCCAAGCATTGTTGACAGCCCTCCAGCTCAGAGGTCCAGATCCCACCGACTTAGCCATGCTTGGGCTTCTGGGCTGTGCCAGTGCTTACTGATCTCTGCACTGCCATGCCAGAGCATGTCACAGCCACTTGCTTTTGCAGCAGGCTGGATCATGGCCTGCGTCAGTATTTCAGAGGAGTGCTGTGAGATAAAGAGTCAATGCACGGTCACTTATTAAGCAAAGAGGCAATTTAACTCATTCAGGACATGTTTTCTGGAAAGCACCCAGGCCCTGCAACCAGGGCTGGTTGCTCAGAAAAGCTAGAGCTCCCATGCAGGTTGCTGAGAGTGATCAACTTTTTAGATATTTTGATAATCTTCTGAAATAGCACTTAAAAATCATGCCTTTTCGTTCAGCTCTGAAAAAGGTAAAGAGCTTATCTGGATGTCCAGTGCTGGGGCAAAAGGAAACCTGTCACCAACTGTGTTGTAAATCAGGCTCCTGTTGTCTTTTGTTTTCAGAAACTGACTCTCTACCCTTCTTTATCCCATGCAGTCTTGCAGTTTCTTCTTCCTGTCTGGCCTTCTGAATGGTAAGTGCTTTTGATTTCTTCCATCAAGTAAGTGCTGTATATGGAGTGCTAGGCAACCTGGTTCATCAAGACCCTTAGCTAGCGCCTGGTATGGAGTTTTAATAACTTCATGCACAATTTTGCTGCGCTTAAAATAAGGCACATGATCCAACGAAGTCTGTTTGAATTTAGCCAAGTAACATCATGTACACCTTCAGATTCACTTTCTCCCTCTCTCTGCGTGAAGTCGTACCTTAACGTGTGCTCTGCTTCAGTGCAGGGGACAACTCTGCATTGGGTCACGTCCAGGAGTGTGTCCAGCACATTGAAGCACAGACTAGGGGAGCTGCCATGGTACCAATTCGCAGCTGATCCTGAGGTAGTCCTGGATCTCACCTGCCTCTCACCACACAGATCAAAGCCAGGACTTCTCCACCACTCTGTGGCCCCAGATGCTCAATACAGGCTGAGGGATCCATGAATGAGCAGAGCTCGACACAGTGGGTCACTGAGTCAAAGAGGAGTCTCTGGGCTAGGCTGTAAACCTCAGGCTTCAGAGAAAAATGAGGAAAGAGCCTAGTTGTGTGAGCAGGTTCAAAACGCAAGCAGGTTCAAAAAGTATGTACCAGTTTATGCAGGCAAAAAGCATTGACAGTTATGTAGTATTAACACATTGATAGCAGGAAAAGGAGTGATTTGGGGGGCAAAGTTGTGATGGATGTCGTGTGAGCATCTGTAGATACAGTGTGAGGATTTGTACATCCTTCAGCAGCCTATCTGGTCTATGTAGAGAATTAAGGTTTTATTGCTAAGTTTAGAATTTTTGTGGGTAAGACCTGCTCTTTCTTTTCTTGATTTCAGTGGCTCTTAGATCTGAACTTACAATTTATAACTAATAAAGTATTAAGTTAATTTTACTTCTTTTCCTGCAAAAAGAATGCAGCTTTCACCAATCACTCAGTATTCAACTATATTTCCATTCATTTAAGTAGCCTTCTGGCTTCCAGGTTAAATCTGGGAATCCAGCTGCCTTGAAGCTCATGCAGCACCGCTTCTTTCCCCAGATCGATGTTATTCTTCTAGTAAGATGTTTGTGGAAAAGACATTTCAGAATCATTCCTGCACACACTCAATATTTAGCGTGTGCAAATATTTAGTCACACAGTCATGCACTTGGCTTCAGGCTGTTATCCTTCTGGCTGGATTTACCTTAACATGCGCCTTGTGCTGACCTGCCTTTCAGTGGTGGAGTGCCCCTTTGGATTCAGTGCTTTTTCTAGCAAGTTAATTCAATCCCTCCCTGTCCCTTATGGTCCTCAGTTCTACCCACACTCCTCCTAGCTCCTATCTCGGCCTGTGTGCAGGCTTTATGCCCCTCCTTGTTTGCATATTCCCTCTGCTTTTTCCTCATGTCTCTGCACTGTCCCGCTTCCCTCTCTCCTGTGAGTCCCTCTCTCCTTCCTCCTTCGGCTCTCATCGGCAGCCTTTGCGTAGCGCTCTGTTGTTCCAAGGGAAAGGCGCTACAAAGCTGCTCTAAAGTAAGAGCCACAAAACTATCCGAAGGATTGCTAGCTTTGTTGTTAGCTGTTCTTATTTCTTTTGCAATTCCTCTTCAAAGTTGCAGATACCCCCAGCCAAGGCCCGTGTGGAAGGGCCAAAATGCCATAACGCCTAGTCTCTGCAGAAGTGAATGGGCGACATACCGTCATTTAAAAAATGGTCAGGATTTCAGCCTCATAAAAATAACTTTACACTGTTCTCAGAAAAAAAGTATTTAGAAAGGTTGTGAGAAAAATCCTACTGAGATTAGACCAGATTTCAGTCAGTCCCCAGAGGTTCTGAGAGCTTGAAAAAATGCTGGGTACTTCCCGGCCACCTTGATGTGTGTTTGCAATAGACTTTAACTTTGCCCATCACTCATCTTGACAACTGCAGTCCAGCAAAGTTGCCTTGCAGTTCGGGTCGCTCAGATGGCATCCGAATGCATCATATTCCCACTCGGAACATTAGTCATGACTTGATCCAGTGAAGGTTTTGAAAACAGTGTGACGGCCAGTGTTGGGCTATCTATTCTCTCTGTAAGAGAGAGTTTGTGTAAGCTAATGAACAAGAGGATATTGATCAGAAATCCGTTACTTGATTGACAGCTCTTGGCAATGTGAAATCCTACAGATGAAAGCTCAAGCAGTTTAAAAGATCACCCAAACCTCAAAGCTGATTTGAAGCTTTAAAAGTCAATCTCTGCCTATCAATTATGGGGGGAATTTTTTGTACTACACAGAGGAAAGTTATTCTTTGAAAATTTGCATGCAGGATGTCTAATTTAATTTCATGTAATAGTCACATTTCAGTGACAAATGTCAGATCACTCCTTTTTTAAGCATGTTAAGGTTTTCCAGCACTTACAAAGAATGAACACTCTGATTTAGTAATACGTTTAACTCAACCAGTGTATCAGACTTTGTGCGTTAATTATGTGCTCAGATAAAAAAAAAAGTTATTTTTGCTTTACTAAACCTATGGCTTGTTATGAATAATTAAAAAAATGGAATGGGAACACTTCTTAAATAAGAGATGTGGAAGCCAAATAGTTATTTAGTGTTGAAGCAATGATAAATAGGAAGACACATTTCAGTTTGATGTCATGCATCCAAGTGAGGGCTTTCTGATTTTTGTTTTTTACTGCTTCATGCCGCTGGGGAGGACGCCGAGTAGCTGGAAGACGGGAGCTATCACTCACATAGCTTGTAGTCACTCTTTCAATTGCATAAAAGGAGGGCAGTGATGGATACAGCGGGGACTCTGATGATTTCTCAGATTTGCTGCAAACTTATGTCAGCTTGGGCAGGGTTTCCCAGTCAGACAGCTCCGCTTTGCTGAGTCTCAGTATTCACAGCTGGGGCCAGGGTTCCCAGAAGTGTCTGTTGATGTTTTCTGAGCCCTCTTCACATGCAACCTTAACGCTGCAGCCTGATCATAGAGCTTCACCTATAGGTAACGGTGGTGGGACGCTGGGGGGTGGTTTGGTACCATCCAGGCTGCAGGTCTGGACCCTTCTCAGTGCTCTCCATGAGGCAGGCTGTCTCCGCTCAGCTGCTGCAGCCAGCAGAGCCCTTGCACACCTAGCTCAGGCGCCTGTTAGCCTTTCCCAAAACCTGCCTGTCCGGGGATCATCTGCTCCTTAAGTGCAACGTGGCGTTAGTATTTCTCCTCCTCGAGGAGCTGTCGCCAAAGGGAATCGACACCAAAGTCCTCTGCCCGCAAGCATTGCCAGGCAACTGGCTTTTACTTCAGAGATGGACTTAAAATAGTTCATGGTGGGTCAGCATGGATTTTAATAGGTATCATTAATAAAAGGTTCATCCATTGCTAAGAAATGATGCTAACATAACAATTAAAATGAAGCGTCATTGTCATTTCTTAACACCATGCTTACACTGGCTGGTTTAAAAATCACGGTAAGTGCTGCTAAACCAGCTCAGAGAACTTATTTTTCCTCTGTCAGCTCACCAGAGTCCTTGCTAGCCTTTGTAAAGCATGCTGGACATGTTTGCAGTGTGCTTTTGGTAGCTGCAAGTCCCCCATTCATCCTTCATAACTTTTAACAGGTATAACTTTATATAAAAAGGGCTACCCAGTCTCTCAGAGTAGTTCTTTAAAGCATCTGTGAAATAAAAGCTAACATTCCCCACTAAGATTTTGAAAATAAATGGGAAACAAAGTCAAACTCCTTCAACATAGTCCCTCAGACTCAAGTCAGCTTGCAAAACCTCCTCTCACACAAAGTGAGCTTGTGGGCTGCATTTCAGGCAAAACCCTCTTTTTGTTTTCCTTTCTTAACTACATCACATTAAATTTAATTTTGTTCACTGTAGACAATGTCCTTATCTTCCAGCAATATCTTTCTGTTCCTCAGCAAGGCACACACTTCTGCAACACTTGCACACTGTCGAGACTCAGCTCCTGTGGAAATAATGAGCTGAGGAAAAGGAGTCTGGACTTGACATAGCAATAAATGAGGTGAAACTTTCCTCTTTTTTTATTTTTTTTGGTGAGAAACGAGAGTTGGCACATAGAAAAAAAGAAGAAAAAAAAAGACTGTTCTATTTTAATATGAAATATAAAACACCCATGGTACAAAAGTGGAATTTCTTTTTTTCAGAAGCAAAGAAAGAATAAAGATAAAGGCTGCAAGCAAATGAATGAGGAGAGAAAACTAAGATAATGTAGTCGATAATCAGTTCAAGGCAGAGCATTATCCATAGGGCCATCAGTCCGGCCCTAGGGGAGAGCTTTTTAGAATGTCTCCGTACGTAGCTTAGCTTTTCTCATTACCGTAGCGTGTCTTTGAAACACCCGAGCGGCTTCAACTGGCAGCAGACATACCTGTGGAAAGAACAGCCAGCCTGCTTTAATCAGCCTCCCCCACAAACATCTGCTGGCACAGCTGCCGGCACCGCCCCCCCCCACAAACCTTGTGGGGAAAAGCTGCCGGGCCGCCAGCGCTCGGCTCCCGGCGGACGCTGCCTGTGCAGCGGGGCTGCTCCCGGGAGGGCGGCCGGCGCACCGCTGAGCAGGCTGCAAAGCTGGTGGGAGGCTGCAGACTGTGTCGAAGTAAGGGCTCTCTTTTCATCGCTGTGTCCGCGCAGTGCCCGGCTCAGCGGGGGTCTTGCTCCTAGAAAAAGGTTTCGTGTACGCAGAGTCACGTTGGTAAGTAGGTGCCCAACTCTGTTTAGGGCTCTCACTCCCCGGTGATTTCTACCAAAATGAAGTTCTGTGTCCCAAGAAGCGATAGGCAGCTATGTACCTTTGAAGATCTTGCCTTGCACTGCAAAGGCAATTATCCTGGTAATCAAAGCAGTGAGACAAAAAAAACCAACATGTTATTCTTGTAGGAATCTAAATCTTTTCTTATCTCACCCTGTAGTAGTAGCTGTAGCTGATAACAATCACCAGGGTCTTCTCCCGGTTCTTGCACTGAGTGCTGGGCTTGTGCTGCTCAGTGGCACACAACAGTGAGGAGAATCCACGTCCATGGGACACCCAGCCACCAAAGGGCAAAAAAGCTACCTTCTCTCCAGGACATCCTGGCTCCTGTCGCAGGAACCGAACCGAGCAGTGATGATCCCAGTGCACTCCAGTGCTCCTCAGCTGCAGCAGCAAAGCCAGAGCTGGGATGACCAGTTTGCAGAGGCTGCCTGGCTGCGTACTGGGTAAACACTGTCTGGATGAGCTCTGTGCTGTAGGCTTCAAGGTGCCAACACGGAAGAGCTAAGCTCTGCCTGTTTTCCCCAAGGCGATGTGAGTTTTCTGGACCCACTGTTGCCATGATGTCCCAAATGAGCTCAGGGAGAAAAAGGTTGACCCTCCCAAGGAATGAATTTTTAATACCTTCTCTCTTTTTAACAGTGTTTTGATTCTTCTGTACTTCCACTCTCTTCTCACCCTTCCTTCCAGACCAGACTGAAGACTATGAGTACTATGATGAGTACACCCAACAAGAAGAGGAATCCCTCCTCCAGAGCCAATACACCGAGGATCCTGACTGGTTTGAGGAACTGTTTGGCTACAGCAGTGTGAGAAAAGGTATTAGAAACTCTGCACTTCTCAGGGGTGGGCTGGGAGGCAAGGAAGGGGTAAAATTCCAACGCGGCATTTTCAGTGCGAATGTGGCAGGCCTCGTCTGCCAGCATGCTCTCGAAATGCCTGCATCAAAGGGATGAGTTAGGAGGATTGTTTGCAGTGTTCTCCTTTGTATTTCTCTTGTAAGGAGCCTGTGTTTTATCTCTGGGTTTCACAGGATGGATTCTGATCATGCAGAACATTTCTGATTGCTACTACAAAAAACACAGGCTTATTTGTCTACAGACACTGTAAGATGTAATTGCTGTTTCCATGGGATATATGTTTTGTATTTATGCTAGGAACCCAAATGTAGATAGAGCACGTTTGCTTTTCCCTCTCTCTATCTCTCTCTCTCTCAGTTGCAGGGTTTTTTTCTTTTCTTTTTCTGTCTTGCCGTACTTCAGGAGAGCATGAAAGGATCCTCAAAATTGCTCTGGGAACACAAAATAGGAGACAGGAAGTTGGTTATAACAACCAACTAGGGTGTTTAGGGTTATCCTCTTGTATAAAGAAAACAGAGATGGTATGTAGCTGGCTTTGCTTGCCCCCAACACCGATTGCTCCTGGCAGCCTGGAGTGGAGTGGAGAGGTTGAGCATAGTATAAGGAATAGCACCGAAGTGAGTCTCAGTGGGTGCCTACTCCGCTGGAGCAACAGCTAACCAGGGGTATTTTGGAGTATAATAGTGATAGATGGCTTTTTCAGGGGAGTTTTAGCAAGCCAAATCCAGACGCCTGCACACCAAGTATACGCAGACAGATGCACAGGGCCAGCTCTGGTTCTTAACACACCTGTTTCTGCAACTGTTAGAGAGGCAAATCTTCCCTGGAGTGAAGGACGTCAGTCAGTTAGAGCTCAGTCATAGCCTTGGGAAGGGAGCGCCAGACCCAAAAGCATGAGCTGGAACAGCTTGCTCTAAGCTCCGTATCAATTCATAGCTGCTCCTGCAGTTATTGAACTGATGTGTAAGCATGGTATGAGTTCGACGGGATGCTGCGCTCAGGAAAGGCAGCCTTTTGCACAGCACTCTGATGGCACCCGTTAGTTAGTCAAAAAACATGAGAAGAAAAGGCAAGTGACAGAGGCGGAGAAGCTGAAAGTAAAACAAAAAAAAATCACTGTCCTTACCTCAACAGACCCATGCTCCTCCAATCCCTGCAAGAACAATGGCTGGTGTGAAAAAAAAGGAAGTCATTTCAGCTGCCTCTGCCCCAAGCCATACACTGGGACTACATGTGAGAAAGGTAACTGCTTTTTTTTTCCTAACTTATATTCCTTATCTTCATAACGAATATTACTGTTAGAGCTCTATCAGTGGAAACAAACACAGTGCTTTAGAAAGCCTTTTTCTGAGGTGAGGGTTTTGACAGCCCAGCGTAGCCATTTTAATAGATCTTGCATCCAGCTCATAGTTTAGACCAGAGTCTTTTTAAAGCAGTATCCAGTAAAATATACTACAGGTGTTCAGAAAGCACATCTCTATTCCCAGTCTTACTCGGTGTGGGCAGTGGTGAGTTGCTTGCTGGTCTTACTTTCACAGTATCCTTTTGCTGTAGACACTGTGAAAAAGAAGGAAAATCCCACACCCACACTGCTACATGGTCTAATGAAAACCCCCTTGGCAAGTCAGGGGAAAGCATGTCTTTCCATGACCCCTGGAGGGCACAGCCCTCATGCACATACAAATGCTAATGAAATACCTTGTTTTTCTGTTTTATCTGGCCTCACCACAGTGAAAAACATGTGTCTGGAGAAGAGGTGCATCAGAGGAGACTGCCTTATTACATTAACCTCCCCTTATTTTCGGTGCAGCTGTAGTCATCCCTACAAATTACCAGACTGTCACCGAGGTGAGCGTAACCCCATCAGAAAGAGCTCCTATTTAGCTGGGTGCTGTGTCAATTGCAGTGGGGACCATGTTGCATTAGGGCCGAGAGGTCACTGTACAGCCGGTCAGCGGAGGGAAAGCATGTGTGACCTACGGCACAGGGTGTTTACAGATTAATCTCCTCCGCCCTAGTTATTAAGCCTGAGTCTGCCACATCTTCAAGCCCTGGAGATGAACACCCAAGCCCAAACATTCGTGTTTGACTTACAGGGTGGTAGTTCAGTCACTAGTGAAAGCTATGGTGATAAGCGTTTTACAGAGTTCGTTAAGAAGTTAAAGCTAATAGGCTAAATGGGAGTTTTCCCTAATTTCCATTGGCTGTGTGAGTGGCTGCATAGCTTTTATCAAAGTAACAAACCTATTCTGTGTTTTCCATGTTGACAGCATCTTCACCATGCAGGCCAAACCCGTGTAAAAATGGAGGTATCTGTATACGGCATAGAATCAGATCAAAATTCACCTGCCAGTGTCCCGAACCATTTAGAGGGAGAATCTGTGAAATTGGTATGTCACCACTCCAGGGGAAAAGGCTGGGAGTTAAACCTCCGGTTAGCCAAAGGTTGGCTTCTCCGTTCAGTCAGATTGACTGACACCTTCACTGCATAAAGAAAGTTTTCTGTGCACCTAGAAAACTGTCCCACTAGAAAAGAATGAGTGAGCACACGTTTCCAGAGGTCCTATGTGACCCATGGGTAAGGAACATCAGGGTTTCCTTAAACACCAGAAAGCCAATGTAGTTAAGATTCATTCTGATTTATCTCCGACTCCCCAGCCTAAGGGGGGGGCAGCTATTGGTACACAGATGGGTGACCAAGGCCGTGGGATTACCCCAGCACGTGTGAAGTATCTTATGCCTCTCTAGTACCACACCATAGGTGTGGTACCACACACATTTCCAAGGAGTACCACACCCCACACACATTTCCAAGGAGCAGAACTTGTTTCATTTTCTTTTAAAAGTTTATTGCACTTCAGACAAACTCCACATAAGATGAGTGTACCTCATTGCAGACGACCTTTCCTCCATTCACCTACAGGTAAGGTCCACAACGCGCAACTTTCCCTTGTCATTATAGCAGTTCTGCACCCAGTTCTGGCTTATCCTGCTAATACTATTTCTTGGACAGGCCACTGGGGGAGTTACCCTAGTTTTAAAGGATACCACTTAGCCTTTAAGTCCTTACAATGCAAAGACGTTCCAGGCATTTGAAGTCAATCTGCCTTCAGGCTAGAGAGATGTTGGGACATGATTCTTATTTCTGTCCCACCTAAGATAAAGGATGTCATTATGTGACCCTGTTGGGTCCTATAGATCTTCTGCTCCTCCATGAACTAAATGGTACGGCAAGAAGGGAAAGGAAGAGGAACTGCTTCAGAGAAGGAACAACAGAAGAGACTTTTTCTTCTTATAGGACCAGATGATTGTTATGACGTGGACTCTGAGTACAGAGGAAGAGTGAACCAAGCAGTGAATGGAAAGACATGCCTGCACTGGAATTCGCACATTCTCTTGGACTATCCTATTAACTCATTTATGGAGGATGCTGACTTTTATGGCATTGGTGAACATAACTTCTGCAGGTAATATCTTGAAGAAGCAACTGTAGAGGTCTCTGATGAGGAAAGCAATGAGCATAAACTGCTCCCACGAATTTAGCAAGCATAGGGAAGTCCTCAGATAGTGTTAAGGTCTCACATCTTTTGATACACTGCCTGTCTATAACATACCAGGGTGTTATAGCAGCATTTCCTAAGTGACTGTACTGACTTCAGGCTTCCAGAGGCTGCCCTCATTTCCCTGAATTCCCTAGTTTTTCTCAAGGTTAAGATGAGTATGGGAATAATGACAGAGACCCTCTCTTTCCCCCCTACCCTATCTCAGGCATCGTCTTTGTCAAAGCTTATGAAACAGTATCTCTGAAAGCTTCATACTCATGCTGGAGCATGAGGTTGCTCTGCTAAACATCCTCAGATCTTTAAGCCAGTTTCATGGAGATTTCCCCAGTTTGATTGGCTGATGCTGTCAACTGTTCCCTTCAGGAATCCTGATGGTGATGAAAAACCCTGGTGCTACTTCAAAAAAAATAACAAGGTGGAATGGGACTTCTGTGACATTTCACCCTGCTCAGGAACAGGTAGAGTGGAAAATTACAAGTAAGCTGTTTGGCAGAGGTGCTCAAGAGCAGCAGGTGCCTTGCACTGGAGACACTGGTTCATTACAAGTCACTGCCACAAAATTGTGGCACCTTTATTATCTTGTTTTAAATAGCATTCCTGTACGTTCTGCCCTGGCATAGGTGATTTCTGAAGTACTCAGTATTCAAGTTCCAAGCAGTCAAATCTAGCTTCAAGTTCCAGCTATTCAAAATGTCCCTTTAGGTGTACTGCACTGTATACATCCAGATGAGGAGCTGTTGAAGTTGCTCACTGTCTGAGAGCACCCCATACAGCCCTTGCAAAATCACAAGCCCACATGCCTCATACATTGATGCTAGGGCTGGAACTTGCAAGACTTACCCTGATGCTCTGGGATTTATCACTGGTGAGGAGCTAAATATCCAAAGACGTATTGGGAAACTACGAGAACTAGAACTGAGTGGGGAGTGAGTCAGCTCACGTACTTCAGACTGAATTGTTTCTGGGCAGAGATAGATCTGACCAAGCCAAGATCTCTAAAGAGTCTTTAAAGGTTTTTTTTTTTTTTTTTTTCTGTATCTGGGTCTGCTCATTGCCGGATTTAGTCTAGGTCAGCAGATGGAAGGGGGATAGCACAGTTTTGGAGGGTTCACAACGGATCTTCCACACGAAGACCCTTTACTATGTTCTTTTTCATTTGGACTATTTTACCCAGGCCATGGGGTGCTAACAGAGTAATTACTAGAGACAGAGTTTATGTTTAAAACATGGTAGAGGGTTTTGCGCGATGGATAGAATCTTTTCTTTCTTATTAACTCTACTTTCTCATTTCCCAAAATATCACTCCTGATCCTCTGCATCACACCCCAGAGTCCTCAGAAACAAATACCTTCTTCCACAGGTGCCAGGCATGCCTGCAGAATTGTAATGCAGCCAACTGTCCCAGTGACTGGGAGTGACCCCGTTACTTAACTCTCCAGGTCACAGTGTCCTGGTCTAATATAATCTCTGCTTTACACATCTGCTCTCTCTCCCTATGCAGCTGAAGAGATCCCAGAGGTGACAGACAGAGCAGCCATCCCTCCCGGATCAAAAGAAATATTCAAAACATGTGGACAACTAGAAAGTCAAAGGCCACTCAAGAGGATCTACGGTGGAGCCAAGACTAGAGCTGGCAAACACCCATGGATGGTATCTCTGCAGAAAAAGACTTCAAGGAAGAGCAGACATTTCTGTGGTGGAGTGCTAATTAAATCATGCTGGGTTCTTACTGCTGGACATTGCATTGAGTAGGTGCAAATCCTATGTCTAGGATAGCTAAACATAAAAAAAGAGAGCCTTAAAGTTAAAGATGCCTTGAAATTTACAATCCAAATGATTGCTGGGAGTCGAATTAAAGGAAAGCATACACATGGAAAAAAATAAACATATGCATGAAGCATGTACATGAAACTGTACATGTATTTTTAAATGGTGCTTGCTAGAACAAATTAAACTTACCTTCCTTATCACTTGAAGTGAGCTAAAAGAATAAAACAGCTTTGTATGAGAAGGAAAGAGGAATAACATAACAAGGTTTTGCAAGGTAAGAAAGAAGGGTTCCATGAAAACCTCAAGGCATATCAGGATATCATGAGTATCATCACACATTACATCATAATTTAAGACCTCCAAAAAAGCCAAAATATCCCTTTTGCTTCCAGTTGTGCCTGTTAGCCTAGGATATTACATTTCAAGCTTCCTTGAGCTTTTTTGTTGAAGAGGTGTTAGAAACTGCTAGCCTTGGAAACTGGTGAATTCCACTCTAGCCAACATTCTGGCACAGGTGATTTTAAGTATGATAAGGCAATTGCAAGTGATTATACTCCCATGGCTCCACGAGTTACTACTCATCATCACAGCCACAGTAATAGACTGTGTGCACACTCCTCCTCTGTTCCAAATGCAAAGAAAAGCATGTTCATATAGCTTTAAACTCAATATTCATTGTGATTGCAACAAGTTAAGAGCAGATATACAGTCCAGCATCAACCACAGCCTTCCTGACTAAGCCCTCTTATAACAGCCTCCTGAAATCTTCTGCCCCTGCTCTACAGCAACAGGAAGCTGCTGTCTTGACTTCCACATACTAAAGCAGCAGGTTATCACCAATCTTCTAGACAATGTCTGTATGTAATTTGCCTTACTCTTTTTGCAGAGACTCCGCAGAAAATCTCCAAGTGGCCATTGGAAAGCAAGACCTCAGGAAGAGAGAGCCTCAAGAGCAAATATTTGATGTGGAGAAGATCATTGTACATTACAAATACAAAGAGAAGGATGGTGTCCCATACAACGATATTGGTAAATTCCCTTTATTGAATATTCTTGTGGCCCACCTCTGACCTCAGTTGTTTGAAGCACTTCTCTCCAGCTAAAGTCAGTGTAAAATTTCCATCTGATGATATACTCTGGAAATAATTAGGCCAAACTGTGGCTTACATCCCTTGGATCTTTGGAATGGGAATTATGATGGCCAAGAAGAAGTCATGGTGTTTGAAGAGTAAAACAGTAGGGGCAAGCCCAGCATGTAGTGCAAATAACATATGGGATATTTGTTGCTTTCACAGGGTTATGTCACAGACTGATGAAGATTAAAATTAATTATAAATATTTTTATTGTTGTTTATCTTGTATCCAGCTTTACTTAAGTTGAAGCCAGTTGACGGTCACTGTGCTGTGGAAACAAAGTATGTGAAAACAGTGTGTTTGCCTAACTTCCTCTTTCCTGTTGGGACTGACTGCTTCATTTCAGGATGGGGTGTGACAGAGACAGGTATTTGTGGGCTAGCTTGTCTTTCGTTGGTGCTTCCTTAGCAAGGTGGCCTGGCACCTTCAGGGGCAATTGCTAGATCGAAATGTGGGTCTACGCACTCAGTGAAACCAAGACATGGAATTCAAAATTAAAGACAGTTAAACCCTCCTAGGCAAATTAATCATTACCTGGCGTCATCAACTGTTAGATCAATCAAACCTGTCAGAAAGTTCTCCAAAAAAAAAACTTCACTTTTTTGTTTGCCCTCTGACACACCATGTCTTGGTTTCATCTGGAGCCAGCAACAGAAGCAAGAAAATATCAAGAGAGAGAGGCTATTGTATATTGTGTGTTTCAAGACAAGACCAAGAAAGACTAGAACTTTCACATGGATTTCCAGCCCATTGGGTCAGATAAAGCTTTTTAGAAGCAGCATCTGGATCTTCAGATGCACAGAAAAAAAAAAAAATCCAAAGCTTTTCAAGTTCGTCCAGTGCTATCCAAAACCTTTCTTGCCCACAGTAAATCCTGAGGGGAGAAATTACTATGCTTAAAAAAAGATAATGACAATTTTCTGAAAGATGTATTTTCTCATGTGCTGATTGATGTGTTGCTGTAAAGCAGCAGAAGGAAAACGTGTCACTGAAGCTGCAGTAGGTGTCCTACTGCTTTGTGACTGACACAGCCAGATATGATACTTAGGACCAAACTCTCCCTTCTGATGTAACTCTCATTGAAGTCCACAAGAGACAAGCGTATTCATTTGATCAGAATGCACCAACAGAATTTAATGGACTTTTTTTTAAAGCTCCAAATAAAAAGTCTCTTAAAAAGGGTATGGGGATTTTTTTTTAAATTTTTTTTTTTCCAACAAAGAATATCGAGTACCCTGTTCATGTTCAAACTAGATGGCTCCTTCTTTTGGCAGAGCTATTATTAGCATTTCAGGAAACCACTACAGAAATGGAATATTTCCTGAAACGCAAGTACAACCAAACTTATAAACCACCTTTAATTATCTAAAGATATAGTGTGTTGAAAATCTGGCTACTGCCTTTAGATGTCAAGTTATGTCTTTAGATTCACTATAATTAATCATTGCCTTTAAATACTGTATAATTTTCAGTTTTTATCTGTTTCATTAATCTAGTGGCACCAGTCTGAGAAGTCCTGAACAGGTCTAAGTCCCACTGGAACTAAAGGGAGTGGCAGACCAGCACCTTTGAAAAGCAGAATGCCATTGATACATTTAGATCGAATCTGAGCCAAATTCTGGGTGCCCAATTTTGCTTTTGTTCAGGCAACAACCTAAGTGTCCTGAGTGAAGCTTCCAGGTTCAAACCATGTTATTTCAGACAAATACCTTCTGGTCTTCTCAGATTAGTCCATGCATTTCCTCATTGCCACCCTCAACTCCCCTTTCCCATCCAAATAGCAAACAAGCTCATATTGTGAACAAAGACAACATATAACAGGATTGGAAGGTGACTCATTTTTTTTGGTGCGCATCCTGTAGATGAAGAATCTCATCAGCTGTTAGATGCCAATGTCAAGTTGATTTCGCAGAGGCAGTGCAATGCACCAAGAGCATATGATCATATACTGGATGAAAGCATGTTCTGTGCAGGAAATCTTCAGAGGCCTGGAGTTGATTCTTGTCAGGTCTGTTGCTTTTTCTGTATTTGAACAGTAATTTCTCATGTAAATAGTCAGGCTGTGCAGAGTAATAGGTTTGGAAGGGTACTGCATATGTATCTGTTTCTCCTATCAGTATATTTCAACAGCCATCATCTTTCTTCAGTACAGTTTAAGATGTATATCCCTAGAGCTAATGTCAGCCCTGTCAGCCACAGGCAGATCTATGGAAGCTAGAGACCTGCCTGGAAAAGTTTGGCTTCTGAGGCAGTTTGTCATAACAACCTGAAAATTTAGCTTTTTTTCTCTCCATTCTATTACAGCCTCTGCTATCAGCAAGAATTCCAACTTGATCTTCACTATCAGAGCTAACTCTTATAGAGAAAGTCAGGATTGATATTTCTTTTGATTACACTAGTGCAAATGTGAAGCAATTTCATATTTACAATGTTTTAAGACTGGGTAAGAGCTTCAGCAACGCTTCACCTCTGCAAACATAGTAAGCAATAGAAACCACCAATAAAACTAAATAAAAAAATGAGATCAATCAGCTCAGGATAAAGTTCTGTTGTTGTTATTTTAGGGGGGGGAGGGAGGAAGGGGATATCAAGAGCTTTCTTTTTTACCTGGGATCACGTCTTTATTTTTTTGAACTCAGGCCCCAAACGCCTGGTTTCATGTCTGGGAATTTTCATGTGACCTTGTCAGATATATGTCACAGACTTAAGCAAAACCTTACATCTAAGGAAGTCTAGTTTCATTTGACCTCATTCCAGAAGAATTGCAAGCCTACTCAGGAACTGTTGGTACATCTGTTAGGAAAAAAAAAAAAATCACTCAAAGTCTTTTAATGAGGGAAGGGAATTCTCATAGTGGTAAATGTTTTGCTTCATGTTTTACACTTGTATTGCTCTTTCTCACCAGGGAGATTCTGGAGGCCCTCTAACTTGTGTAGAAAATGGCTCCTACTATGTGTACGGCATTGTGAGCTGGGGTGAACAGTGTGGGTTAAAAAACAAGCCAGGAGTCTATACCCAGGTGACAACATTTCTCAGTTGGATTAAATCCAAAATTCGGTCTGAGTCAAGGTCACTTCATTAAGAGACAGCATTTGGAACAGCAAATGGTAAGCTTGAGAAATTTACTTATTTTTTTAGTGTTTTCCCCAACCTCCTCTTCCTCAATCAAAAACTTTACTGATGCTTCTTATGACCCTGATGAGCAATCCAAGGTCACGATCTTGGAAAAGGCATTAGAGTGGTTAACAGAATGTTGATTACAGTCTTCCTGTTTGGGGGTTTTGAAGTAAGCCACCTTTTTGTAGGCAAAACAGATGAGAAACTAAAGCAACTCCAGTTCTTCCCCAAATCAGTCACAGCAGCACTCAATTTCCAGTTTTGCTTTTCAAGCATTTGTCCCTGAAAACTCTGCAGGCTCAGCTGCTACCACCTCTTCCCTCTTCCCCTCATGCCCTCTGCTGAGGTGTTTTTTCTACAGTCACTGTAATCTGACATCTGACAAAGCTATTAATATGTGTTCTCAAAGTCAGTGGCATTTTGTAAATATATAAAATACATCATGCGCCTGTATTTGCAAGACTGGGGCCATTGGAATAATCTGAGGAGGGAGGATCAGGCAGGAGAATTATTTTTAAAAGTCCTTCTGTCATGCTAACAACCCTAAATTCCATCAGTGAAGCATTCCAGGTTGAAAAAGCAGGAAAAAAAAATCACTAGCAGAAATACTCACTTTACTTCTAATGAGAGGAATAGTCATTATGCTCCAGACCCACAATGATACACATGTGCTTAACTTCACTTCATACCAATGAGCCCTAGGGGCTTTTAAACCCCTTTGAAAACTTGGATCTAAAGCTCTCGGATAATTCTTGGGTTTTTAGAAGGTTTGCAGATAGAATGATGTATTTTTGTCCAATGATTCTGCAGCCCTAAAGGGAAATTTAGAAAATGGGATTGGTATTAAACCAGGACATAAAAATAGACATGCTTGCATGTGAAGAGTGAATTTGTTAAAATTGTGATGACTCTTTCATCTGAGTTCTAGGGTTGACAACCTTCTCTAAGAGCCACCTAATCTATCAATAGCTACTCCTATTGCATGAATTTCTAACAAACTAATTCTGATTTTTTGCATCAGAAGATTTGAAAAAGACTAAAGAGCTAATTGTGATCTGAATACATCCTGTAAAACGAGAGCAACCTCTCTGGTGTCCATTACAAGATGTGATCTCAGTTAGTCAATGATAACTTTGCTTCCATTGGCCCTTGTCTTGTTCATCTGTTAAGCCATCTAAATCGTGCTTTTGTATCCTCTTAAGCCAGTGGTGCCAATAATCCAGGAACATAAGAGTCTCCAAAGATGACAAGTATGGAATCAGATTCATCTGATTTATTCAATATAAATGATTTTATATTCTACCAATCAGGTTCATTCATCTGTAGTACAAAGCTGAGCCTGCCAGTCATCTAGCATTAATTTCATTTACAACTTTAAATAAATACCAGACTCTGTAATACATACAGTGATAAATAACAAAGTATCCACACAAAAATAGAAAGATCAGTTTTAAGTTGCAATGTTTAGATTGCTTTTTAAAACAAAACATTCATAGATGCCACGTATAGTGCTTCCTGGAAAACTGGAAAAGCTATAGGATTTGCAGGAAAGCTGAAAAAAATATCTAATTGTTTTGTGTCGTGTTTCTGCTCACTTCTTATACAGCTGCATTTTCCTTCTCTTGACTTGCAGAATTTCTGAAGCATCAGGGTTAACTGTGACTTGATGACATCCTTCTGTATCCGACTGGTCCTGTAAGATCAAAGCCAAGTAAATTGTGAGGACAGCTAGTGGACAGGAGAAGGTTTTAATTGCTTTATTATTCTGTAAAAATATTTACAAATTAAAAACTAACTCAACTGGCAAACAAATGGGCAAAAGCTGAATTACTGCTCCATGCTGAACAAATCTCTACCATGACAACATGCAAATAACTGACCCATTTATATAATTTAGATACTACAAGTATCCCAGGATAGAATGTGCTCAAGTCCTAATTTCTAGAGCAAACCAGCAAACACCTGAATTCCACACGGATAACGCACCTGTAGATTTCTCTGGGACTATCAGATCTTAACCACATGTAGGACTTAAAACGATACCGTCTGCAGTTTCTGCTGCCTGTATTAGTCAACCGTAGTTGTAATTCATTTCCCGAGTAACTTTTCAGATTGAATAAATCAGGGATATGTCCTATTTCTTTTGGGCTGGCTTATTGTTTGGCTTGTTGCCAAAGTTAAAACTTAAATGAAACAAGTATTTAAAGTGCAGAGCTTCTCTTTTATTGTAACTTCTATTGTAACTTAATGCTTCCTAACAGTAGGGGCTACAAGGTCCTCATAAGGACTTTCGCTTTCTTGTACTGGGACATTGCGGAATAGGACCCACACCTGCGGAGGTGTGAGAGAAGGAAAACCTGGAAAACCCCAGCTTGTAATTTCTTGCCGCTTGGGATGGACAGGGGTGGAGGCAGCTGGAGCACTGCCCTTCAATAAAAGCCTCCCTCAGTAACTGACATTATGCTGGTAGGAGCCTACACTGAGCTTGTCAGTACAGCTGTCAGTGGAGATTACATGGCAACATAGATGTGCCTTACAAAAATTAGGAAAAGAGATGGGGAGTTGTATAGGGAGTCCCTTCTTCCACTTCTGCTCTCTGTAGAGATACCAGGAAGCCTAGAGATATGAAGACATCCACAAGCTAAAAGCAATGTATCCCAAAATATTACTAAATTCTACCCTGTAGCATCATCAGCCAGGACAGTGTTGCACTCCATAGAGGACTCCTTCAAATTAAGGTTTAGCCACAGCCACAGAACTCAGTGAGGGAAGTATATATATTCTGTTTAAATAATGGGAACAATTGCAGTCTCCAGGGAGCATTCAAAAGCATTAAATGGGATGTGTGCTTGCCTGCCTGCCTGCCTTCTGGTGAACAGTGCTGTTGGGATTTGTGAGAATGGTTTACTCTACTTACAACTCCAGGTTCGCACTGAGCAGAAGCGCCTTGCAATTCCATTTCCCGAGCATATGCCAGCTCAGCAGCTCTTCTTGCCATTTCAACTTTGTAAGAACCTGGGGGAGTCCAGCCAATGCCTTTGATCCTGTTTAAGTCAGACTTGTATTTGACCTGAGAGAATGAAACATAGGCCAGTGTATATTATTTCATTTGACTCTCAAACTGCATGCTCTGGATCTTGAAGAGAGTGCATATCAAGAGCAACAGGATCAATAATAAACACATTGTTCATTCTCAGCAAACAGACTTTAGTTCTTCTAAGAATAAAATTTTGTTGATAGGTAAGGTCTGCAAAGCACATTGCCACAGATAGCTCTTAGCACTTGAATGGACAGTTCTGCTCAGCTATACTTACATCACTCTGAAGCTTGTAGGCCTGCTTTGCATGCTTCACATTTAGCTGCTCAGGATCACAAGTGTATTGGTGAAGAGGCTGCCTGTAGTTAACGTTGCTGACAAGCTGCTGGCTTCTCTTAGCATGGAGGAATCCCGGCTGGTTAAGGTGACTCTTGAACTGCACCCTATTTTGGGCATACCTACTCCTGTATTGGTTGTCACTCTGGAGCTTCCCCACTCTGAGGACATGCCTGATTTTGGGATCATCATTTGCACTGCGGAATCCAATCTGCTGCCCTTTATCTCTCAGGAAAGCCTCTCTGTACTTGTACTGCAGGAGGAACAAAGGAAAATATCATTTTCAGATTACATTCAAATTCCATTATGAAATAACTTATCCTCCCCTAGCTATCAATGCTTCCTGTAGTGCATAGAGACCAGGGGTTTGTCTGATACCAAACTGTATCACTTAATCTAACATGACACTCTAGGAGAAGGACCTCTGTGCTAATTGTTATAGGAGTAGAAAGTCTTAGGGACCTCCAAAATATTCATCTCTTGAAAGCAGCCACAGTTCCTCTTACTCTTATACTGTCTGTTGTACACAATAAATGGCTCAACCAATGCAGCTCTTCCATTTTCAGTGTTCTTGCCAACTGCAATCTCACATGTTCAAGGGTGACCCACTCTAGTCAAGCTCATGCTTTGACTAGTCATAGCCTAGTACATAGTTTACTTAAGTATATCATAATATATCTTTTTCCCAAGGATAGAGCTTTGAAAGAAACACATCAATCTGTTTCCCGATATTATTAATGGGAGTCTGTAGCTGGAAATCTTTGCACTTATCAGCATTCGGTTTAACAGGGTCACCAATTTTCCCAAACCAGACTACAAGGTTCACTTATGCCAGAATTTACCCATTTTTATGGGGTGGGGGTGTCATGGGAAGAGGGCTGGGAAGTGTTTGAAATAAAACAATTCTTACATCACTAGCAATCTCTCTTGAAGCCTTTGCTGTCTGGAATGGGATGGCGTCAATCCTAAAATCATAGCCAGATGCCCTTGTCTGTTCCCAAGATGTTTTATACACTTTCTGTGTTGAAAAGAAAAGAATAAAACAGTCATTTCCCCCTGCAGTTTCTTAAACATAGTGCCATGACTGCATTAATAAATGTTTTATCCTACTGGGTTTATTTGTATCAAGAGTCATCAGTACCATCTTCAAGGTTTTGATCCACTTCTATAGCACTTCAGCTTCTTTTCTATTCTCCATAATGATAAAATGTCTCAACTGAAAAGTGCCACCAGGGTTTCCTTCTGTACTTGAATGGGGTTGTTTCTGATTTAATTTAATTTCTATTAGAAACTGCGATGCATCAGCCACATCAATATTGCATTGATATTGCCCTTATTCTCTCTTTTGATGAATCTACTTGTAGTGTCCTGGGTTTCGTGGCATCATAATTTAAACACCAGCTATTTCAAGCTTTTCTAGTGTTCCCTACCTCAATCCCCAGCCACATGTGGCTTCATTAACTCATCTGGAATAACAGCTACTTCTAACGTATTCAACGTGACTTTGAGGCTATAAAATTCATTCACAACCTGAAGAAAAATTGATGTAGATTTGATTCTTCCATTAGTAGTATTCTTACAATAACTTCTAATTTTCTGTTCCCACTACACAGCCACTGTATCTTAGCTGACACTTCTAGTTCTCCCTTCCAGGTTCTATTCCTTTGCTTTTCTTAAGGCTTTGGTTCATCCCTTCTGGTGTTTGTGATCACATGAAATCCAGCACAAAGTCAACTTCACATTTCAAAACATGTTCTTGCGTTTTACTGGTGAATTCAGCACTAGGCGGTATTTAATTTGCATGTAAACTGAGATGGCAAAAGTCTTGCATGAATTGGTAGAACAGTCCGCGTAGAAGCTATGTAAGTGTTACTGTAAGCCCTGCTAACGGGTCTAGGGCTGATGCTGTATTCATGTGCAATAATCCCTTTCCCTTTACATTTTTTTCCTCTACGGCTTCAAAGAATGTCAATCCTAGTTGTTTCTTTCAGCTGTAGAGAATCTCCTACCCAAACCAAGAAGTTAAAGAATTTTTCAGATTAAGGGCACTCTGACCCTACAGTTAAAGAAGGCCGGGAATAAAAAGTAGGGATAGACAACATGCCTCTGTCTGGGGTAGTGTGGCAGCACAACCCTTTAAAATAATCCTACTTACTGATGCCGTTGCATCTGTGTTGATGACAACTGTGTCTAAGGAATCAGTCCAAAACAAAGTGTTGCAACCTCATGAAGACAGATTGCATAGGTAAGGAAAGAGAAGGATTCTCTTCCCCTCCCCCACCCAAATGGAAGTTCATGGTTTTAAATTTGTTACTAACTATAGCTAGACTGAAGGACTGAAATGCTTAATAGCTTCCTGCCTTAGAAAACAGAATCAATTCTCAAAAGGAGAAACCCCCCCACCACACACACACACACACACACACACACATACACGCACACGCAGGCTCAACAAAGAACTTAGTGTCTACACATACAGGAAAGTTATTTCATTTCCAGGCAAGTTTTTTTTCCTTATTGAGCATTACAAACCCTGAGGTAAAAGGCTCTGTTACTTACATCGCTGATTTGAAGTGCATTCTGGCGGGCCCGGATAAAATCTGGATGATCGGGAGGCAGGGTGTACCTGTGCCTGGCTTCGGAGTCTCCAGCCTTGTACAGCCTCTGGGGAGTCAAAAGTCATTGAATTCAACTGATACTGGAAGCAAAGTTGAGGTCAAATCATTAAGGTGTAACAAAAGTTAAGATCATTTATAGTAAAATCAAACCTACATCACTGCACTGGAGGTAGCTATTTTTAGCATGAATCAAATCTGGAGAGTCAACCACAGTAGTAAACTTCAAACTTTCTGGCTTCTGACGGTACTTTGTCTGTAAGGGATATGGGGGAAAACAACAACAACAACAACAACAACATCCAAGAGGTTTCTGTTAGATAGAGATAAACCAGGATTCTCAATACGTGATAACTGGAGTAAAACATAAAAATCACCTTCCTGAGGCCACAGTATTAAAAATACACTATTCTGCTTTCGTCTCAGTTGCTCTTTCAGCTAGGGAGTACAGATGCCACTATATCACTTCAGTGGTGCCCAGGCACCAGACTTATTTTGTCTGTGCAAGCAGGGTTTTACATTGAAAACTCACATGCGAACAGCTGTCAAACACTACGCTTAGGACAGCTCATAATTCTTCTCCATTAATATAGGATACTGAACAGGCTAATGCCCCCTGCAATGTGATTGTCAATGCTTTGTCTTTCTTTATCACTTCCATAATCACCTACTTAGAATTTCCTAATAGAATTCACTGCATTTATTTATTGCTACATATTTTGTTTACACTCTTGCGTTTCATTCAGAATGGAAAATA